TGTGTTCCTGCAGTAATTAAACAAACAGGTTTCTGTTCTTTTGCCTCTTCCTATCCATGAAGGACAGACCCCAAGAATGATACTAGTTAGTTACTCATGGAGGGAATAGCCGTTTTCATTGCAAAGGATAGAATTCTTTTCTGAATGTAGATAATGAGCTCGACTGCTCATCAAAAGTTTGGAAGTTGGAGTCTAGCCAGAAGTACCTGGGACTTGAACCACCAACCTTTCAGTCTGCACCACCCATGGAAGGAATAGCCTTTTTCATTTCAAAGAATATAATTTTTTTCTGAACAGTTAACAGCAAAATGCCACCTGAACAGCAATTCCGTACATAAACAGGACTAAAAGGGATTTTTGAGATCAGCCGGCTCAGCCCCTTCATTTTATAGACAGATTTCCTCAAGAACCTCCAGAAGAACTGCCTGACCATAAGTTTTTCACCAGGGTCATAGTTGCTTTTCTCAACAGACCCGCGGAATGCTCTATCCGTGGTTCCCCGTGTGGTCCAGGGACCACCTGCCTTAGAAGCCCAGGTGCTTGTTGAGACGGAGGTTGCTGTGTCCAACCACTGGTCTCCTGAGTCGGAATTTTGGGGGTGGGGCCTGGAGTCTGCATTTTTAACAGGACCCACCACAACTTGTTTGCATCCTTGAGTGTGAAAACTATTAGAATAGACAATTCATTTCAACAAAGGCAGACTGGCCAACCCTCTCTTGCCCTTAAACTACACCACTAATGTCACAAGACTATTCTGGAGTGCCGTTAGGAATGTATGTAGAAGAAATCAATTGTTCTGAGATCCTCACAAGAGTTGACTGGGTTTTTTCCTCTGCCTCGTGGATTCCTATTGTGTTATGAATTAAGTCCTGATAAGATGCTATCTACCGAAGGGCAAAGGATCACTGTCCTTGCATAGAATCTGTATTGGAGAGAGTGGCCTTTATCAGCCTGCTTTGGGCATAAGGTAATCATCAGATTTTAGCATTTCTGTGTTTTGGGGCATATCTTGAACTATTTCAGGGCAGAGCAATCCAGTGGCCATTGTTCAATCCATAGCAACAAAGGAGCTGAAAATTAAGCTCAGTTTAAAGAAAGTTCAGCTTTCTCAGTTTTGAAAGCCAGATGACAGACTCTTGCTCTTGAGAAAAGCTAGGTGAATAGCTCCTAGATTGGAAAATCTTATCACAAAGTAATTTGAGCTCTCAATGACAACTCCTAAGTGAGAAGGAAAACTACACAACTCTTCAGTGAGGCCCCCAGAACAACCAGTTTCTTCTGTAGGGCACCCCCTGTGTCACTTCAGAGTAGCCTTGTTGCATTAATGGGCTCTCCTAGCAGTTACAGAGCCCTGGTGGCGCAGTGGTTAAGAGCTCGGCTGCTAACCAGAAGGTCGGCGGTTCGAATCTACCAGGCACTCCTTGGAAACCCTGTGGGGCAGTTCTACTCTGTCCTGCAGGGTTGCTGTGAGTCGGAATGGACTGGACGGCAGTGGGTTTGGTTTCTGGTTCTTAGCAGTTACACTGTCCACCAAACCCGCGAGTTTAAAGGTAAAAAGGTTGGACCCCACTGTCGTGTGGTTTATCGGTTTGACAGTTCCTCTGTTTCACTGCTTTCTTTCAGTGGACACACCGTCCCCGCCATTTGACAATTCCTTTGTTTCGCTGCTTTCTTTCAGTGGACACACCGTCCCCGCCTTGTGCCACAGACGCCCCTGGGACCCAGAGTGGCCGACCTGTAGATGCCACAGCTGACAGTCATTTAGTGCTGTCCATGCCTAATGAAGGTAAATTTGCAGATGAACAGCGAAG